GTTACTCTGACATCAAGATAAACAAAACCAGATATGTGCATTTATGCAGAAAACAATTTACTTCCTTTTTTGTTTGAAAAGCCTTAGCCAGCATAATTACTTACCAAAGTCCTGTAGAAACACAAATGGAGAATAAGCAAAAAGCAATTGAATTCAAGTGTGGTACCATAATATTGATTTCTTACTAAAAGTGGAATATGATGCAGAAGAGGACTGATACAAAATGAACAGATACATGATGTACATGTACAGCTGCAATGTTAATTTTCATGGAACTGTCTTTAGAAAAATCTAAGAAAAACTTTGTTCATTTAGTGAATAAACTATGTTGTTTCATGGTTCACATAATCACTGTTAGATGGGGGAAAGGACAATGCTTCTCAGGTATTCAGACATGGAGGAAGAAAGAGGTTTTTGCCATACTCCTTCTAAAGGAGATGGACAGAAACAGGTAACAACTGACAGTTTACTCTCCCCTCTGGACAAATGGAAAGGAGGAAATTAATTGCTCCTCACAGAGGCATAACTATGCTTCTTTACAGAAATTCAGTTATGCATTGCACCAGAGCACACATGAAGGAAAGCTTATCTAGCCTTTCATGACTAACGTAAAATGTCTCCTAGAAAGGAGAACTGTGAAGATGTAAAACATATTGTGACTCTTTTATATGAACAGTCATGAATATAAAATTATTAAAGATAATGGAGGGGAAGGGTCTGGTTTCTTAGAATTTTCTTAACATCTTGTTCTCAGATTTTGTTTTATAGTGGTAAAGATACTGGTGTTTACAATGCTGAGATCTTAGATATAAGTAATTGGAGATAGCATCTAACAAAAGTAGTAAGGGCTAGTTTTGCAACTAAGTTCATTGCTGTAGCATGTGCCTACAGGCAAAATTTTGATCCCTATAGAGCTTGCTTGTAGATAAAGATTCCTAAAAGTTATAGCAGGACACTGTAATACAATTACACTTTACAGTCTCCATGGTTGTAATGTGCCATTCAGATACTTTTGAGGGCCTTAAAATCTGATCCCATTTGGTCAGATGAGATTAAAAATAAGGAACTGATAACTAGGTGATCTCAGGACAAACAAAACCCCTATGTCTAGTTATTTTGAACCTAACTGAATGATAACAGAAACTGTGGATAGGAAGTTCAGATGACCATTGCAGCTAGAAAGGGAATGTTGAATGTCCGTGACAGATGTGCTAAAGCTCCCGAGAGTACAGAAATTTTGCCTAGCACTTATGATCTTATAAAGTGCTCAATGGGATAGGAAAGCAAAGAAGAAAAAAACATTGGGAAAGAACTAATGTCATCAATGAACAGCACCAGTACCCAAGAAATAAAACAAAACCTGCATACTCTTATGGTGATGCTTAAGATCTCATCAAATCTCATAAAACTGTGGCCTTGTTAGCTTTGTTTCTTTGTAGTAGACCAGGTCTATTTGGCTTACCCATAGGTTATATAATATGTTATATGTGGTTTTATGTGCTTCTAAGCTGTGGTTAGCTAAAATATCTATTTGCCCTCAGTATATGTTTACCCCTGTTGGCCTCCTTTAAGAATCATCTGGTGAACGGACTGAAAGTGAGGTGAGGTGCAGTGGCCTGCACTACTCATCTTTATCCTGGACTTTTCCACTGGTCTATTTTCCACTGGTGACTTCCCTTGTCAGCTTAAGAGAGCCCACATTGTTGCTGTGAACTGATTTTTTCCTGGCAACACCAAGCTCACATCTAAACTCTGGCTGCATTCACAGACTGTGATCTCTGTCCAGCAGGTTTATTTTAAACTGGCCTAACCCCATACAGACATAACCAAGAGGAGGTAGTAGTGGTGCTTCCCATCATCTTAAACACAGAAACTCAGGACTTTTAAAATAATTTGGAAATAGACAGCGACTTCCTGAGTTTTCGAGCTCTGTTGATGGAATTAGGTATCTGAACTACTTTGATAAGAAGAGGTTAAATAACACTCTTCTCTTTAGGATTTGCTATTGGAAGGATTAAGAGACTGTATGCTCAATGTGACAACTTCTGTGGATCTGTTTTTTGGGGATTTGTGAACTCCGTTTGTTACACAGGAGTCCTGAGTGATTAATTTAACCTGAACCCTGCTAGTTAGTTGGATGCTTTTAATGAGCAGCAGCAGTGAGTCAACCATTATAAACTGACATCAAGTATGGGATGCTTCTAAAAAGGGTGTTTCTGCCTTACACCATATCCTCGGCCATATATATCAGTTGTCTTAAGCACTAGCATTTATGCATGGTACAGTGATTGTACTAGGAAAACTCATAAAAAAAAAAAAAAGGGGTGGGGGTGTGGGTGTTGCATCTGAGTAATTGCTCAAGAGAACATTTACTTCCAGCAAGAAAACAATACAACCCTCCTCCATGAACAAGGTCCCAGGTTACTTGGAAGACATGGTTGTTTAGTACTGTGCCAACTAATGCCCTAAGTAAAGGAGATTAATAGATCAGGAAAGGCAATATCCTTATAGCCCTTGTCAAGGTCACTCTAAACACAGAATCTGTGTGGGCCTCTATGACTAGATGTGAATTGTCTCTGTGTAGATAAAATATATTTTGTTTTCATTTAAAAGGATAAAGTTAGTCTGCAAAGACAAGTTCTTCCTAAAATTTAATGTCTATGCATGAGCTTTAGCTTCTTCAAATTGTATTTTTAAGTAATTTTATTATATTCATGTTAATATAAGGAAATGCTATTTTTTTTAAAAAAAACGTGTTTGGATTAATAAACGATTGAACTTCAGTCAATACTGTTGGGCTCCAGTCTGTGTGCATAAAACAGGAGAGTTTATATCTTTATAAGCAATAATTTTGAAACTCTAGCTGCCATCTTTATTGATTAAGGAGACAATGATGCTATTTTACCTTTAATCTCTAGTGTAGTATTGAAGCTCTGACATGGTAAGAGCCGAGGAAGTCATCAGCAGCTACACTTGCAACCCAATTGTAAGATTTAAGTACCTTTACTTTAGAAGTTATTGATAAACTCATTTAGATTGGCCTGATATTTAAAGCTGAGACTTGTAGAAGTTTAGTTAGAGAAATGAGATGTTTTTTCATAACTTGCTATTATTTGAGAAATTTGTCTCTTACTTTGTCTCCACTGAAATGAAATAATGTGTGTATATAAAAGGGGCAAAAATGGCCTTTGCAATAAAAAATATTTGAGCATAAATCTCCTTAAGCAAAAATTTATTTGAAAGTCTTTTAATGCTCATTGTATAAAATACCTTCTCATCTAGAAGCTAGTCCATATTTTGGGGGTGGGGTGGGGTGTGAGAACAAATCAAAAAAAGCTTGAATGTGTCCACTAAAGTATCCATAAATAAAGTAACTAACAAGTGAAACAATAACAATGTTTGCAAAGCTTGGAGTATATTGTCAGTCATTTTTTAAATAATCATGCAAATATTGTTTAAAACCTGTGAAAAATGCTTAAGGTCTAGAATACTACTGGAGTCTGGTATGTATTGTTAGCAAATGCTTTAAGACAGTGTCTGTTTTGCTATAAGATGAATGTGAATGTTAGGTAAATAGATGGAATAATCTTAATTGGCTACAAGAAAAAAGTCTGATTTAACTAAAAAGCTGTTCAGTGCTTGTCAGCAATTTTAGATTTGTTATTAAGATGATTTATTTTGCAGACTTCATTTGAGGAAAAAATTACTTGTGAGCTAGTATTTGTAATTAAATCACAAATACCAGATTATAGTTTTTAAGAAAACATTTAGCCATATTCTAGATTCTTGGGACTGCATTGCACCACACAGGTGATTCTTAGCCAGCTACAGAACCCTTCTTCACAGAGACCAGCTCCTAATGCACCAGCTCTGTGTATTGCTCTCCCTTGTCTCAGACACAGGAGATGTGCTGATAAAAACCTCAGCATAGCTGGAACATTGTTTTGTTCTCCACAGCATGATTAGAGTTGACTAAGTAGATTTTCCCAGAGTTTCTCCGGGATCAAATCCGTGCTTAGCAGCTTAAGTATCAAGAAAATGCACAAATGGTTAAGAGACAATCTTCTAGCTCTTTCTGCATCACAACTGCACTGCATACAGAAGGAGCAACACAAAAATTCTAGCTTAGCGTTTTCCCAGAATGTCAAAATTATGAGAAGTTTCTATAAACTTAAGAAAACTTATGTTTGCATGAATATGCTTGAAAGTCCCTTTCCTTCACAGAGGAATAATATTAAAGTGAACATATTTCAAAATTAATCTTAAACTTCTTGACTTGCATAAAAGCTGCCCCACGATTTTGATAGCATGCATCACTAGTAACAGTTTCACCTCACTTATGCTGCTCAAGTATACATAACATTTATTCATTTTGGATAAAATGTTTACCTACTCTTCTATTACTTCTAAGACTGTGAGGTGGAATGAATTGTCACCTTTTGTGGGTTATGCTGAGTTTTGCTATAATTTTAGTTACTACTGTAAACTCTTGGCAGAGAAAGTAGCAAATAAATACTTGTGTATCTAAAAAATTTATTTCTGGTTTTAATAAAAATGAGGAACATGAGAGTTGTGATAAGGCAGCTGAATAGAATGAGGACAGTGGAACTTGTCATCTTACCGTTGTCTAGAATGATGGTGGCAGCTGGGATATCTCAGGCAATGGAAATAACAGTAGGCAGGCACTCCAGCATTCTGAGATGGTGGTTATTCCTGCATCTTTCAGGTTATTCCTCTGGATTATTGAGCCCAGATTATTGACCTGGCTTTAACTATGCAATGAAGAGAGAACAGAAAACTCTGTGGGTTCAGTGCAGAGCTACCAGAAGCTGAGTTAGCAACACATGAACCCAGCTGTACCGCTTCCAAGACCTGCTAAAGCCATGGAGCATCAATACTGCTTTGGCATGACTGGCAACAGAGCTAGCAGATCACAGAATCACAGAATCATCTAGGTTGGAAAGGACCCTGGACATCATCTAGTCCAACCATTCGCCTAGCACAGTTCCCACCTACAGCATATCCTCGAGCTCTAAATCGACCCTACTCTTGAACACCTCCAGGGATGGGGACTCCACCACCTCCCTGGGCAGCCCATTCCAATGCCTAACAACCCCTTCTGTAAAGAAATGCTTCCTAATATCTAGTCTGGACTTTCCCTGGTGCAACTTGAGGCTTGTCCTGTCACTTTCTACTAGGCTAAAGAGGCTCAAACCCAGCTCTCCGCAGCTTCCTTTCAGGCAGTTGTAGAGGGTGATCTTCACAGGCCTGACCTTGGGTGTAACTGTTCTATGTTTGCAGGATGGGGAGTGTTAAGGAGCCAGTTAAAAGATACCACAGTACCTTGCACGACCTAACAGTCCTGAAGGTGAGTGCTGTGCTGATGTTACCTCTGTTAGACCTGAGCTAATTCTTACAGAACTACTGGAATGCCTCATAGCTACACAGCTCCTAGTGGGCTACTGCTCTCCATCTCTGAGCTGGCTGAACAGGCCTGCATGGAGAACTAGTCAGCCCACCTCTGTGCACCAAAAGGGAAAAAATACTGAAGTGGCACAACGGTAATCCAGAAGTTGGAAATTTAGTTATTGCACTGAATGTTTAGTGTCTTGATTCTGAGCAGACTAATTGCAGGATTGAAGAGGCATTTTCCCCCCTCTTCATATATATGGGTTGGATGTGTGGGGCTTCACAAACTGGCCATAGTTAGAGGTAGGACACAGGGAACAGTTCTGCTACTAGTACTGAAAGTCACCTAGATTCCTGGCTGGTTCATCTTGTCCACAAAGCAGGGCTAAGCAGACTGCCAAATTTGGACTCGTTTTGATTTAGAGCAGCTTGGCTGAGAGCTATGCAGCTACAGTAGCAACGGCCTTAAACATTTCTGTCCGTCCTTGCTCCATTCTTTTTTTTTTTTTTTTTTTTTTTTAATAGTACAAAGCTTGAATTTGTTAATGTACTGTGAAACTTTTTGTGCTTTATAAAAGGTGGGAGCAGGTATCATGAAGTGGATCTCATAGTTAAATGCATGTGCATGTGTGAAAGGGATGTGTTTCAATGATATAGTCACTTTACTCATTAAATTCTTGTTTGGTTTTCTGTATTTTAAAGTTGCAGATGCTCTTCAGAAGGTTTTGAACTGTGTAAAGTAGTGTTAATTCCTTTTGGCTTTATTTCCAAGATCCCTAATGAGAAAATTCAAGAAGGCTGCAGTTGGTAGGTTGCCTCCTGGCACATCTTTCCTTCCACCTGTTTGGAACTTCTCCCACAGAAAACTGCACATACTGGATCAGTTTCAGTGAACTGAAGTCGTTAATTTCCTTAGTTCCCTTCTAAAGCCCATTCATTTTGAAAACATTACTGCAATATAATTTCTCGAATAACACAAATGCTGCATCTTATCCTGGTGAATAGTGAAAAAAACCCAAGACCCAAATCCTTTTCAAACCAAATGTAATATGCGAACACATGAACAAAATGCTGCAATCAAACTGTAGCATTTCTGTTTTACTTCGGCAAATATATAATACAGTCATAATCTGAGAGTTTTTTTTTTTTTTTTTTTTTTTTTTTTTTTTTTTTTTTTTGAAATGTGTAGAATGAAACTGCTCAGGAAAGCATCTTCTGCCAGTTGTTAATGCCTTTTCTTTTCATACTTACTGAGGAACCTCTTTGCTGCAGCTGTGTCATAACTGAATAACATTAATATTTTAATTGGACTTTTTAAGGTTGTGCGGTGTTAAGGTTTCATTTACTCTCAAGTCAGCTTGGATTTTATGAGGCTATGGCTTTTCTTAAAGAATTTCCATAGGTGCTTCACTTAGGTTATCTAAAGACATTAGCACATCATTTAGTTTCTTGAGAGTTTAACCCACATTTTTCTGTTTAAATGCTTAGTAGGATTAAAGACACTATCACATCAAAAGAGTTGAGTTTTCCGTTCCTCTACATCTTCCACCTCCTACTCTGTCCCTTCCCTCCATGGCTGCCTAAATTGCTTCTCAATTTAATTCAGAGTGAAATGACTTTCAGTCTCTGAACAAAAACTAAATTCAAAAAATAAAGCCGATTTAAGAGATTTCAGTTGAAGAAGGACGGCCTTTCCCCACTAGAATTTCTCTGAAAAAAGTGTCTGGGATTGACTTCCCTGGGACATATGAGTGCAAAATGCCCCTGGAAACAGTTTTCCCAAGAGTCCTTCGTGAACTCCTAAAATCCGCATCCCTCGTGTCTTTGAAACTCTAATTTCAAACTAATCTAATTAGGCTAATGACTTGCCCACCACCATGCAAGAAAGCTGGGACAATCTCCTTGAGATTTCCCTACCTCCCAGACTTGCACTTTCTTCATTGCATCAGGCTGGCTCTAAACAGTAAGAAGCACAAACGTTCATTTCACTGGAGGGAAAGGATCTTTAAATAGTCAGCCACTTAGAACCCAACCGTGCCGTGCGTTTGAGGAGACATAAAAAAACCCAATAGATTTTGATAGTGAAGGTGCAAAGCATGCTTAAATATCGATCACGTTTTGTTTTGGCTGTGTCTCAACGGTGTAAGTCTTCATTCAATAGGGCACAGAGAATGTAAATGTTAGTACCATCGGCTAACACAATTGCGCTTGCAGGGGTGCAGCTTTGCTCCGTTTACCCAGCGCATCTCTGCGCCTTGATCATTTGTTGTAAAGATCACAAGCCTAGAGGCAGAGAAATATAGCCTTGGTCCCCTTGTAAAGAGGAAATGGCTGAAATCTGTCCAAATGTTGCGAAGTTGTGAACTCAGCCTTAGTTTTAAGTGCTGACTGAGAGAAAATGAGGAACCTGAGCGTGCACAAGCCAGGCTCTGTGATCCTCATCTCAAGTTTGATTAAGGCAGAATCTGGCAAATCTTCCTGTTAAGCAATTACTTATTTGGCTTTTTCTGTTTTCTGAGCTTGCATGGCACAATTACAGAGCAGGGTGAAATATCTTACATCATTAAAAGTACTGATCCACAAGATAGTAAAAAGCCTACCACAGTAGTCATGTCAGAGTTAAGCCTGTCAATAACACCTTCCTTTCTTTTCTTTTCTTTTCTTCTTTTCTTTTCTTTTCTTTTCTTTTCTTTTCTTTTCTTTTCTTTTCTTTTCTTTTCTTTTCTTTTCTTTTCTTTTCTTTTCTTTTCTTTTCTTTTCTTTTCTTTTCTTTTCTTTTCTTTTCTTTTCTTTTCTTTTCTTTTCTTTTCTTTTCTTTTCTTTTCTTTTCTTTTCTTTTCTTTTCTTTTCTTTTCTTTTCTTTTCTTTTCTTTTCTTTTCTTTTCTTTTCTTTTCTTTTCTTTTCTTTTCTTTTCTTTTCTTTTCTTTTCTTTTCTTTTCTTTTCTTTTCTTTTCTTTTCTTTTCTTTTCTTTTCTTTTCTTTTCTTTTCTTTTCTTTTCTTTTCTTTTCTTTTCTTTTCTTTTCTTTTCTTTTCTTTTCTTTTCTTTTCTTTTCTTTTCTTTTCTTTTCTTTTCTTTTCTTTTCTTTTCTTTTCTTTTCTTTTCTTTTCTTTTCTTTTCTTTTCTTTTCTTTTCTTTTCTTTTCTTTTCTTTTCTTTTCTTTTCTTTTCTTTTCTTTTCTTTTCTTTTCTTTTCTTTTCTTTTCTTTTCTTTTCTTTTCTTTTCTTTTCTTTTCTTTTCTTTTCTTTTCTTTTCTTTTCTTTTCTTTTCTTTTCTTTTCTTTTCTTTTCTTTTCTTTTCTTTTCTTTTCTTTTCTTTTCTTTTCTTTTCTTTTCTTTTCTTTTCTTTTCTTTTCTTTTCTTTTCTTTTCTTTTCTTTTCTTTTCTTTTCTTTTCTTTTCTTTTCTTTTCTTTTCTTTTCTTTTCTTTTCTTTTCTTTTCTTTTCTTTTCTTTTCTTTTCTTTTCTTTTCTTTTCTTTTCTTTTCTTTTCTTTTCTTTTCTTTTCTTTTCTTTTCTTTTCTTTTCTTTTCTTTTCTTTTCTTTTCTTTTCTTTTCTTTTCTTTTCTTTTCTTTTCTTTTCTTTTCTTTTCTTTTCTTTTCTTTTCTTTTCTTTTCTTTTCTTTTCTTTTCTTTTCTTTTCTTTTCTTTTCTTTTCTTTTCTTTTCTTTTCTTTTCTTTTCTTTTCTTTTCTTTTCTTTTCTTTTCTTTTCTTTTCTTTTCTTTTCTTTTCTTTTCTTTTCTTTTCTTTTCTTTT